GATCGATTACAGCATATGTGTCGGAATCACCCTGCCTTCAACCTGTTCCATCAGATTCAGACGTTTCTCAAATGCGTTACAGATGGCACGCACGATTTTCAAGGGCATTTCGTTCCATTTTCGTTTGATTATGGCTTTAAATTGGATTAAGTTAGATACCCTGAGCTCGTTTACCTTCGACAGTATTTATGAATACATGAAATAACCCAAGAGATTCATGTAGTTCACCAGATAGCCAGGAAATTTTGACGGAAAAGTTGGCCATATTATCTCTACATAAGCTTTGAACACACTTGCTGTGTTAGAGGGCGTTCCATCCTATTTAAACACAAAATGATTTTTTTTTTTCATTTATTCCATTTATAACGTATACACTTGGTTTGACAACTTTCTTTAAAAAATCCTTTTCGCAATGTATAGCGTTAATTTAAACGCTTTGTTTTTCCATGCAAACCTATGTAATTTGCCGCACTTGCATATTCCTCCAGAACCCATCACTGGAGTGGTACTTTGGAACCGTGGAATATTTATGTCACTCCCTGGCACATTTTTCGAGGTAGAAGCCCAAAACCTAGTGTTTTAAACATGATGAGACTACTGCAGCGCAAGCAACTGCTCGTCGGGTAGGTCAAGCTCATCCCCAGCGTGCTGTGATAGTAGAAGAATTGATCTTTCGAGCCTTACTTTCTTCAAAGCTTCTGAAACTTCATGAACTTTCCGTTTCTGGAAAATTTGGATTCTCAGGTCAAGTTTCAGGACATTTTACAAGAACGATATTGAAATATTGAGATCATTAGGCATTTTACGTACTGGGATTTTCGTCAAATCCTTTTACTGGTTATTTTAATAGCTCGTTCTGTCTTCACTGAACGTGCTTGGCTCTCTACTGGTCATCCAACGAGAAAGTACAATGATACCTTCTTATGATCCAATAGACAAAATCACGCTTCATTGATTTTTTTAAAAATGGCACCCGGCGACTCACCTTTTATGAACATTGCCGATTAAAGATGGGTACATCACCACTAAAAAAATATTAAAATCACACGCAACCTAATTCATTTAAACATGCTTATAAAAAAGACGTAAACGAAATATTATGTAAAGTTACGATCTCTATCACTGAGATGAATACATGATCTTGATATATAAATATGTACATAGTAACAAACTGAATATTACATTTCAGTCTTGAAATTCATCGTGCTTGACTTCAACATTGCTCACTGTAATGTTTTTCAGTGTTAAGCCACGTAATTATGCCAAGTGCACGCATGTAAACTGTGCTGAACATAAAAGTGTCTGCTGAATTTTTTAGCTTCTTTATGCAGAGTCTGCTTCCGTCCGTCGTCGGGGTCGAGCGCAAATTTCTTTTCAGTTAAACGGTAATTTAGTGAAAAATGACTGTAGAGTGTCGAATTTGGTATATTAAATGTGAAACTGTGGAGGTTTTAATAAAACACCTCAGGGTGCATAAGAATATTGGAATTTATGAGTGTCCTATCGATGATTGTCGCGTTAATTTTAAATGTTTCGTGGCTTTAAAAAAGCACTTAGAGCAACGCCATATTTGAAAAATCAAAAGCGGCGAATTCGACTGTGGGGTGTTAGGATGCGACGTGAAATTGGATAATTTTAAGCTTCTTACATTACGCTATATAGAATCTGGTGAACCTGTATTTTGTCCTCTAAAGTGCCAAACTAAAAAAGCATTCCGAGCTGGAAACAGCCTTCGGATTCATAATATGTATTATCATCGCGTCAGAAGAAGTGCGCCACAGAATGATAGCAAAAATGGTTGTGCCGAAGAAGAAATAGCTCCTAACCTCGATAATCACAATTGTGATGAAGAAACACCTAAAAATTTCCGCGAAGAACAGTGTGACGACGATAAAAATTGTGAAGCAGCTCAAGCTTTTTTTGGAAGCCTATTTATAAAACTAATTTCCAAAAATCATGTTACTGATGCTGCAATTCAGGAAATTATAGTGGCATTAGAAGAACTTACTGATGCACAGAATAAAAATTAAAAAAAAATAAGCGAAGAAATTGCAAGAGAATTTGACCTTTCCGAAAACAGAAGAAACATATTGGTGCGAACTTTGACTAGCGAAAATGTATTAAACCGTGACAAAATGGAAACCGAAATGGAATAATACATTTGCTTTGGCTCACAATGGGTATTAAATGGACAAAAATACGTCAAAATGGAAATTACGATAGGATTTAAATTTACATCTATTAGTTTACGTTCGTTTAAATTTACATAATATGTTTTGAAAGCCATGTAAATTTATAGCGTAACTGAATATTAAATATATTCAGCCGCTCCATTTGTGTGCATCTGATTAATCGTAAATTTACATGATTTTTTGTAAGTGTGTAGTAAGTGCATGTGCCATACTTTGTTAAACTACATCAACGAAATGAAGATGCGTATGAGAATATATTGGACTCGGTGTATTTATTTGAATGTCTGTCCATTTTTATTTGCAAATGAGATCAATTACATTGAAAGATGCAAATAATTTAGATGGAAGCTGTGTTTAGTTTCGATAAATTTTGTGATCGATTTCATTTGAAGTTGAGGTCATATGATTTTGCAAATGTAGCCAATTTTGATTCATTTTAATAATAACCAAAATAATTAAAAGTTAAGCATTGAAGTTTGATATCTTTTTAAATTAATTTCATTAGCAGTTGAGTAAAATTTCTGTGATAAGAAACATGAAGGTGGCTTTCGACAAAATCGATCACAAATTGTCACTCAGGAAATTATCACGATTGGGAGCCTCGAATAATCATGGTGTCATGGTATTCATCGTATCTGACTGGAAGAGTGCTACATATTCAGCACGGATCTTATGTTTCACCGCCATTTGCTAGCACGTCCGGCGTCCCACAAGGAAGCAAATTGAGACCGTTACTATTTGTCATATTTTTCAATGACGTTGCATCTTCACTTGACTATAGATGCAAGCTCACATATGCATAAGAATCGAGCGAGTCCAAAAAAGGTTCATACGGCTTGCTCTCAGGAATCTACCATGGCGTGATCCGTCTAACCTTTCAGCGTATCTCGCTTGATGCCGTCTGCTTGGTCTTGAAACGCTTGATCGAAGACGAAAATTACAACAAGCTACGTTGGTCCTTAAATTACTCAACGGTGACGTTGATTGCTCCTATCTTCTATCGCTCCTTGACTTCCGTGCATCAGGTAGAATATTACGTCAGCGGTCCCTGATTGAGCCGGGATATCATCATACTCTGTATGGTTATGACCAGCCTATATCTGCAATGGTTTGTTTGTTTGCATCGGTTGAATCAGCGTTCAATTTTGGTATGTCAACGCCTCAATTTGCAAATAGAGTAAGAAGATTGAACATTCTTTAGATATTCATTAAAACTGTTTGTCAGATGATTTACTAAACAAGAAATAAATAAATAAATAATCAATTTATTTGAAAATTGTAACAAGGCCTTATAGAAGCTGTGCCTATTTTCGTTCAAATTGGTGAAAAGTTGAGTTCAAGCCGTTAGAAGTTGTGAAAAGTTTCTATTGAAATCCTTGCTAACAAATTGTGATCATTTCATTGACCACATTAGTTGGAAAATGTGTTTTGAAAGTTGTGACCGATTTTGTAACAAGTTGGGCCAAAAGCATGTACAAATGTTATCAGTTTTGTAAGAAATTTAGTATGAGTATTAGTATGAGAAGTTCTTAAGCTTCGTTCGAAACTAGGATAAATTTCTATTTAATATGCATCCATTTTCCTTGCAAATGTTGATATGCATGGTACTGGTAGTTAATGGTTTAGTTGAAGATTTCCAGATCTATCAACCAAATATACCTTTAAAAAAATACCAGATCAGTTTAATTCAAAGTTAATCATATAGTTTGAACATGAAACATTTGTATTTGATGTTGGGTCCAATGTCTTTAAAAATTAGCAATGTTGTTATGTGTTATGACTGCGGACAGATGAAATTCACGGTGAATACTTCCCGGCTTCACAATTTCATTGCAGTCTAGATTAGGATAAGATGGACAGGTAGCATCGTTAAATAAATCAATTGAACACGTCGAAATGTCGAAATGTGAAATGTCGAAAAGTCGAAAATCTCACTTAATTTTTATGGCCACAACAATAAACAAATGCAGAAAAAGAAGCGTAATGTTGTGATTTTTGGCAAGTAATATTACACCTTATTTTTGACACGATTGAAGTGCATCCACTTTGATGTGATATCAAAATTATTTTTTTGCTGTAAACGCAAATTTCTCGTGAAGCATAACACACCAAAGCAAACTAACAATGTCATTCGATAAAGGAAGTTTGCTTTTTCAGATGCTGGTGTTAAATTGCGTGGATGTACCTTTATTTTCGAGAAATTTTCGTTTAAAGCCATTGCTTACGTTTGGTTGTTCCACCTATTTCAATTGTTGGTCTAGAATTTAAGAACACGTTTACTTAAATGTATTTTCATAATTTTTCAAAATACGTAGCATGATATTGATTTGTTTATTTAATACAGCAAGCATTTAAAACAGTGAACAAGGATGACTTTGTATATTTTTCCGAATGTTCTTTTTAAAATCAATTCGACAAGTAGAGAGAGACAGATAGATCGATGTACATGTAGCTCCATTTGTTAAAAAATAGGTATGATATAAAACTAGCCAAACCGAATTATTTGAATCGCCCTAACATTCATTCATCATCTCAAACATTAACATGATCAGAGTCTCCGAGATGCCTCAGCATACTCCAGGTTATTTATCATTTTTCTAATTAACCATAGACAATATTTCCGTTCCATGCGTTTTGGATTCAATTTTTCTCGTTCCCCTCGGTAATCACGTTGTTTATCATTTCGTTAACGATCCGTTCACGACCGAAATTTAGCGCAATTAGCAACGGCCGCGTTACGAACCGTGTAAGACAAATGTCTCTCATTCTTTTTCCGTGTTGTTTCTTCGTGTTGCCCTTCCTTTACAGGTATCGTGGTTCCGGCGGAAAGACTACCAGCTGCTGACGGTCGGCCTGTCCACATACAGCAGCGACGACCGGTTCCTGGTGGAGCACACCCGCCACCTGGGCAACTGGGCGCTACGGATAAAGAACGCCCGGAGGGAAGACGAAGGACTGTACGAGTGCCAAATTTCCACCCATCCACCACAGTCGATATTCATCGAGCTTAGGATCGTAGGTAAGTACACCGACAGGACAGCAAAGCAAATAATCCCTAACGAGAATGGAAGCATTAGCAGATGAGATGAATTATCATAATTGGTAACATTACGCGGGAGCTTCTCATCTCCTTTAATCTGATAATCTAAAAACATGAGGCCATTGACGGTTCCAGATGATTTCTTCTTTGAGCGGGAGGATGAATGGTTCACAGGACTTGATGAAATGAATTTTTCCCGGAAATTCAATAAACAGATGCGTAAATTTCGATTAAACAACGAGACTGACCTTTCATCCGCTGCTGAAGTGTTGCCCTTTTTCATCATCCTCCTCTGTTCGTCAAAGTTTTCGAATTTTGCACCTTTCGAATCTTGGCTGCCCGTTTGCTCACGCAGGGCACGTGTCCCAATTCGTAATCAATTTCCTACTCTCTCCCTCTCGCATTTTCGGCTGTAGGGTGGCACTCGTCTAAAGAGATAATTAAACTTTATAACTGTGCTATTGTGTTTCACCTCAATGTGGGTGGTGTTTTCAAAGGAATTCGTTGTTAACATTCGTTTGAAGATCGACCGCCACTCGAGCACCCCATTAAGTCGGTATACTTATCGGAGGTCCTTATCGATTTGTGCCTATTGGTGGAGGTAGGGGAAAAAAAATGTAATTTATATGATAATGTCCGATGAATTATTGGCCTTGCGAGTTGTGCAGAAGGGAGAGGATCTTCATGTTTGCGGTGTGTTTTGTTGAAGGAGGCCTGATTTTCATCACGCAATAAGGTGGAAAATATTTTCGCATGTATCGTAGAGGCGGTGAAAATAATCATTTGTAAATGTGATGTAGCGAGGATTAGGATGAATAATGGTTGAGGGTCGCCTTGATTCGATAGCTTAGGCTATCTTTCAGGCTAAGAGTGGATTTGCCTGTGATGTGGATAAGAATGGTCTCTTTTGTGTAGCACAGTGGTCCAAAAGCTAATCATCGTAAATAAAGAATACATTATTTGTGCCTAAATCATTTTATTAACGTCTGTAGTGTTCCGTTAACTCAAAGAAATTAAAAAAAATCGTGTAAAAGACATTAGGGTGGTCAAAACGGGTCACTAACTTTTTTCTAGTAAAGTAGCATAGGGTAACTCCAAAGAATCACTATTACTAAATAACCTTTTTAATCATTGATTACTAAATGCGGCTTTTGGACCATTTGGACATGGCTGCACGACTCAAATTTCTTCGTCAAGCTCCAGTCAAGTCGATCTATAGAACCATTTTTCTCGGGTTGTTGTTCGATATTCTCACAACGAGTAAAGCCCACCAAACTCACCCCATTTTTACGGTGAGGATGATGCCTATTGCGCAGATTATTGGCATTCTCCACATTCCGTCTTCCATATGCACTGCACAGTGGATGAAACGCAACACCTTCACGCTTTGAATTCCTAAATCCACGATTCACTCGCGCAACTCTAAAAACACAACATCAAAACTGCGTAAGCTTACCAACACGCATCTCCTGGGAACGAAATGTCAAGCCGAATATGTAGTGCAATTATCAGTATTGGCGGTCATCAATGTGTCAAAATAAATAAATAGGTTGTTGGAGAGTAGCCCACCCCAAATTGGAAGAAAGACGGTCAAACAATATTTCACCCCACTGCACCATACCGGATGAGTGCAAGGTGAATCTGACCCATACATGGAGCAACGGTTCTCTTGCTCTCAACCATCCCAGCTTCCAAAGGCAGCGACGATCAAGGCAATTAATTAGGTCATTAGGTTAGGAATTCTAACGTGTTCTATGTTACGTGTGATACATGCTATTTAATGTAAATATATAAGAAAGTGATCGGTCCTGAACCTAAGCATTCACACCGCGGGAGTGCAGTATTTTCCCAACATTACCCATTCCCTTGAATAACACCATCGTGTTAGAGGAGTGGAGCACCACCTAAATTATACAGTTTACGAAGGAGCCAACTTCCCAAGGACCCCATCTCAACAAAGTCGTGCACCTCGATTTTATTCATTTGAGCTTTTGTCAAGAAAAAAGTGGACACCCTCTTTTCACCCTTTTTACCGAGAAGGGTAATACAAAACCCAACTTTCAAAAAAGAGGATTAATTTTTTACCTTACCAAGAGACAACTTTGGAAGTAATGATAAAATCTCATTTCCCCCATTTGCCTACATGATGAACATATCAAATCTGTAATTCTTCCGAAAATACCAATGAGTAAAGCTCAATCTGCATATCATCTGGGAAAATCGACAGTTACAACATACAACACTAAAGGGCGAACACAAAATTATTGCGACACATTCAACAGGGCATAACTTTTTTACCATTGGGTAAAAATCAACCAAATTTTGCACACTTTCTCATTGATGTGTATTGTGTACATGCTGTCAAACTCGAAGTCGTGTTTTTCGATTCAACGAAAATGGAGGTGAACCAACGCGAGTTGAGAGAACAAATTCTTTCCAAACACCTGGTATTTCCTGACCTGTCGCACCGGCAGTTGGGAAAAATGTTGAACATTCACCATTCAACCGTCTCCAGAGTGTTGAAGCGGTTCCAGGAGCGGTTGACGTTGGACCACGGCAAAGGAGCTGGAAGAAAACCGGGACCGGAGAACAAAAAGACGGAGAGAAAGGTGAAGCGGATGATTAAAGCAAATCCCAACGTCTCAAGCCGTGATTTGGCTAAAAAGATCGGCATGTCGCAGAGCTACGTCCAGAATGCAAAGAAGAGAGCTGGACTACATACATACAAGGTACAGAACTTCCCAAACCGCGATGAGCGGCAACAATCGACGGCTAAAACTCGGGCACGGAAGCTCTACGAGAAGATGCTGACAAAATATGGCTGCTGTGTGATGGACGACAAAACGTATATAAAAGCCGATTTTAAGCAAACTCCGGGGTTGGAGTTTTTCACCGGCAAGAGCAAGTTCGATGTGGACGACAAAATGTCGAAGTTCGCCTCCAAATATCTCATTTGGCAGGCCATCTGCTCTTGCGGACTGAGGAGTGAGCCTTTCGTGACAAAGGGCACAGTAAATGGCGAGATCTACAAATCTGAGTGTCCCGAGAAGCGCCTTTTGCCGTTCTTGCAGCAGCACGACGAAGCTCCGCTATTTTGGCCAGATTTGGCATCATGCCACTATTCTAAAAGTGTCCTGGAGTGGTATGAGGCCAATTCTGTCCATTTTGTACCAAAGGACATGAATCCGCCAAACTGTCCGGAGCTGCGCCCGGTGGAGCAGTACTGGGCAATAATGAAGCGGGAACTTCGAAAGAGCAAGAAGACAGTCAAAGACGAGAAGGACATGTTAAGAAAATGGAAAAAAAAAACTGAGAAACTGGTACCGGATGACACTGTAAAGACTTTGATGGAGGGCATCAAGCGAAAATGCCTTCAATTTTACACTCAAGGCTCCATCGATTAACTTTTATTTTGATTTTTGAAGTAAATATATGTATAAAACTACCCTAAAATTTTGGTTTGATTCTAAACATTATAAGAAAATTTGCATGACATTTTCGGTGTCGCAATAATTTCGTGTTCGCGTGTTGTTACAAAAATGCTTCGAAACTAAGGATGGCACCTTTCTCGACGTTATAAATCAATAGAAAACGCCATGAAAAAACGTGGGTTCAATGCAATCGAAAAAATTGAATAGTGAAAATGTTATCTAATCGAAAAACATCATCAAATCTTGGATAGGTAACAATAAAGGTAACGCCTGCTAAAGGCTGTCCTCGAGGATGGGTTTTCTCTCCTAGTTCTCTGGTAAAAGATGAACATCTTATTAATCTTGAATCTCTAGGATTTGAAATTATTGGATTTTCGGATGATATAGCTATAATATATAATTTGATGAAATTGATTCAACCATAATTCAGACGGCATTAAATGTAACCGTAATCCCAGCAAAAACAAAAAGACAAAAAGTCCTACCTTCAAAAATGTTTATGAAAGGAATAGAATTAACATTTTCGTATGAATTTAAATATTTAGGAGCAACTTATGATAGTAAACTCTATTGGAGTGCAGTATAGAAGCAACCACCCAAGTAACATTTTTGGTTTTATCATGGGTTTGAAGAGATTAATAAGGCTTGGAATGCTCTTGAGGAGCACTGTAAAACAGGAAATGTTGCTTGGGCAATGCTCTTTGGATTAGTAAGAGGACGTTATTGAAAATGTTACATTGAATATATTTGGCCTTAGTTAGATATGTTTCACTAATTTTGTGGCCAAAAGAAAAGAAGAAGCAGCTCCACAGAAGATTCATCAATTGCAGAGGCTGGCTACTACCTGTATTACTGGAGCAATCTATAGCCTTAGAAGCTTGACTTACTCTTCTGCCGTTACATCCATTCATTAAATTCAGACTCAGACGAACAAAATAGCTTCTCTAAGGAGATCTTGAAAATTGACTGAATATTTTGAAAGAGATTCAATTAAGTCCACTAATATTGAAAAATAAATATTTCATGACAGAAAAAACATGAATTCCATCATTTTTTAAATTTGTTTTATTTTTGTGTGTTTTGATTCGTTCTTGTTTAAAAATATTCTACATGGAAGACTTGAAACAGGATAATAGGGTAGAAGCAGGCATAACAGGTTCTGGACTCAATTTTTCTATAGAAAGCAGATTACAAGCAGGGATATTTGCGATTCTTGAATGTGTAGAAATTTGCAACAAAATAGATAATAAAAATGGAATCATATGCATTTTTTCGTATATACAAGCAGAATTGAATGCCCTTCATTCAATTACCTACATTTCAAAATCAGTATGGGAATGCTATATAAACAGCTTCAGCAATTGTTCTGTCATAATTAGGGGTGTCCCACATCAAATTGCATCACGGAAAAAAACGCTGTAGAAAATTCTTAATACGGTGGGAATGTCACGGGCCTACCGAAGCCTCATTGTCACATCATGGTGAGACTTACAACAAGGTGGACTTCCGGCAGCTTCCGGGGCACACCCCAGCACAAGTTTGATGTTC